CGACTAACTGTTTCTTGAAAAACGGCTTGGATCCTGCACTCTGTGTGTGTGTGTGTTGCTTAGCTGACGCTCGGGCGGCCCCATTTTAGCCTTGCCATCAGTTAACCCCCACAACTAATTTAAGCTAAGTCCGGAATTTGATAATCCCCTGCAATTTTCCAAGGGTTCCCTTAGCGGAGGCCAGTCATTTTAAGTATATGCCCTCCCAAACAAGACCACAGCCCCACAGCCTTGGCGACGCTCCTCCTTGAGTCAGGCGACCGTCGGGTTTATGTGAGGGCCTGTGTTTTCCTTCAACCCTAAACCTCAAAACCTCAAAGCTCAAACTTGAAACCCTCAACCTTAAGACCCGAAACCCTATAGCCTAAACCGAGAGAGAGAGAGAGAGAGAGAGACTGGGCGCACCTGGCCATTCCAGTCAGCTCAGGGCGACCAACACATGGTATTCGACCTCGGTGGACCGAGGGTCAGTGCGATCTTGAACCCCCAATAAACCTTCTGCCCCGCCCCCCCCATCACCTGCCCCCCAGAAAAGAAGTGCCAGCGCATGACTGACGTCCTTCCTTGCAATCTCAGTCTGCGACTCGCAAGAGGCACAGAGGAAATCGCACACGCGGTAGGATCATGGCGAAGTTGCCTTAAACTAAATAACGTATCGTCTTCCCTAAAGCGGCCTACCATGCCGGCGTACTCTCATACCCCGTTGCCTGTCACTGTACTGACCAACTAAAGAATATCACTGACAAGCACAAAAAGCAGCGCTCTACAAACAGCATCGGCAGCGACGTGACATTCAAAACTGACATGATGCCACATGCACACACACACACAAGCATGCAGCAAGACAATCACTCTTCGTGCAGCACAGCTCAATGTTCAGCGTCAAGCGGTTTGGCGCCAGGTTGAATCTGAGTCAGAACCTGACAGAGTCTTCTTAAGCTCAGGGTTGCCAGGCTACATCTCATGCGCTGCAGCTTCGCCTTTGCCCGCGTGCTGGCACGTGCCGCCTCGTGCTGGCGTGCCGTGCCTCAGTGCAGAAGCAACCTTCAACGCAATTCACTTCAAAATAATTTATCATTGCTGGTCCAACGCGCAAGAATGGGAATCGTGATCATCGTGAAGTCTCCAAGCAAACGCCATTTTTCGGCTTCACGCCGGCGGGCTTCTTGCGGCGTACTTGGAGTGAGCCACCATCACCGTTTTTGAGCTGTGCCTGGTCATGGAAGCCTGCTGCGGAGGAGCAGCCTGCAGCGGCGGCTGTGGAATACCTGGACGTGCAACGTCGTCAGACGAAGCTTTTGGATGGACACAAGTTTCACTCATGGCCTTGAGATTCTTGAGATTGTGGCGCAGATTCGCAAGTCGTGCATCCTGGAAGTGCACAATGTGGCTGACTGGACTCCACACGTCAGATGGCCTCTGTGTTTCGGCGGAGGAGGGATTAGCGGAACAGGTAGCGGCTGGACTGCTGGAGGAGGTGACGGTGGCCCATAGCCTGAAGGGGTGCGCTTCTCGAATCTGAATACTAAGTAATAATCAAATCCCACACGTGCCTTGATCTGGTCGGCTCTTGGCCGCCGTCGGTTGCAGCTGACAAGATCCTGCAATGGTCTGATGGGCGTAGGGCCTGAGGTTCACAAACCACCTTCACTTCCCCAAGCCTTGCTTTGCATCTTCTGGTCGACTCTCGGCCACTGCCTCAGAGCTCCGCCACGTATCCTTCGATCCTGCAATCAGTCGGGGATCACAAACGACAAGTCAGCGCAAACAAGGATAGGCCCTGGCCTCCTTTCGGAAGCCCTTCCCAAAGTGTCTCAGGCAGGTTCCCATTGGTGGAGTACAGCATGCTTGTCCGCGCAAAGTTGCTCGGTACTTCAGAGGCAGGTAGGTCCGGTTCTTGGGGCCGTGAAGCAACACGAAGCCAGGGCGCCACAGAAGGCGCCGCCTTGCGGCGCTTGTTCGTCTCTGGAGCCAGCCGTTGCAGGTCCGAGAGTTCTGGAAGTCTTTCCGTTTGAACACCAACTGTCTTGCATGCCACGCTGCGCAGTATCTGGCAGCGGGGCACATCATCCAGATGATTGTACGACATCATTAATCATTGCAAAGTCACACAGTGACAGCCACATACACAAAGCATGACAACAAGTAACTGCTGCTGACAGCGCGCTCAAGAAACCACTGGCATGAACAGAAATCACCTCCCACTACTAGACAGACCCTTCAGGACCTTGAGCAAGTGCGCCGCGATCACAGATAGAAAGATTCGAGAGACATGTCAGACACACCCACAGGTCATGTGCAGATGGGCCAGTGGCGTGGTGTACACACATGCCAGCACCTGCGAAACAAAAAAACGTGCAAACCCCCAGCACAACAGCGCCGCAACCGAACAAACTCTACGCACAAACGCAGCGTCAGTGCACAAGGTGACCAGCCTCAGCCCTCTCCCATGCCAGGCATCCTGCCATTCAGGACAATCCTGCCCATCTATCCATGTTGCGCAAGAAGTTTTGTCCTTCAACCCCGTCATGGCCGCACATTGCTTGCGGTGCACGGCCTCGGATCAATGAAGAACTGAATTTACTGAGAGTCAGTCAGCCTTCACACATTGAATTAAATTGATGCAAGCAGCAGTGCAGAATCACGCCGGGTGCCGAGCAGATAGAAGGCTGGACAGCCTGCGGCTGCAGAAGTGCAACTGCACGCGCTTGTTTGACTGTTTGACTGTAATGCGCCGCTTCTTTTTCGACAGGAAGTATTTTCTCGCCTTGAGGTGTCGCAGAAACGACAGGCCTGAGTGAACCGCTGCAGTAAATGCCCAACTCATGTGCAGCCTGCTCGTCCAATTCGCGCTGTGCCCGGCTTGCTTCAAGCGCATTCCGGGCCTGACTGACCATACGCCATCGTTGCCCGGCGCGAAGCTTCTTCAGAAGTCCCCACTGGAGACGCTCATGACCGTTTCCAGGTCGTCGTTCTGCGTCTTCTCGGGCATTTCCGGGGGTGTTTCCCCAGGCGTCGGCTTCTTCTCTGTTCCGGCGGTCGCCGCCGAAGGTGTTGAAGGTTGCGAGGTCGTCGGTGGGTAGCCGCTGGATGCTGCTGCCGTAGAGGCACGAGCTGAGCACGAGTAGCAATCTTGCCAGCTTGTTGTGGATGCCGCGCCGGTTGAAGTTCGCCTGGCCTTGCCGGCGCCGTCCGGGAACTTGTTCACCTTGCCGCCTGGCCGCCCGCGCCTGCCGTGCTCCAGGAAGATCGGGATCTTCTGGTCCGAGATCGGCACTCGGTAGTCGTTCGGCAGGGCTTTGAACACCAGTCCGCATTGTTGGCAGTCTCGAAACCGGCCGTGCACATTCCCATGTCGCCGGCTCGCATCCTCCGGGTGATCGCAGCTCTGGATCTTGACAGGGTATCCTGGGCTGAGCGCCTCCTGCGCTTGAAGATGACGATTCGCCGGTGCCGCCGAAAGGAGGTGCTCCTTCTCCAGCAGGTCCAACGCCTCCGCGTAGTGGGTGATCGAGGGGGCTCGGTGCCGCATGTCCCGGACTGCGTCGGTTGCCACGGCCATAGTCACCACCTGGCTCATCATGTCGATGAGCTTGAACACCATGCGCCGCCATGCTGCTCGAAGTTTGCCCTTTGGCATCATCACAGCCGGGGGCATCCTTCTAAAAGCGGCCTGAGGCAGGTGCTGCGGCATCGCAAGTTTTGGTCTGCTTCAATGCGGGGATGCAGCCTGCCTTTAGTGCCAACATTGAACTGCTGTTTGTGGCAACAGGCTTTGGACCCGCCTGTCGATCTTTTCGGCAATGAAGAAGGCCTCCCTGTCCTTGTCAGGAAGATGGTCAAACCAGCCCAAGCAAAAGCTCCCCTTCTGTGCCCTCCCAGCCCCAACGGTCCACAAAGGCTCGGGCCCCTCATCAGCGATGGTGTTCTTCCTCAACCAATGTGCCTCGGGCCCATCTGCTACTTAACTCAAATTGAAGAGATCTTGTCGTACCGAATGCACGCGCCATCGCGCAGGTTAGGTTGTCATTTGCCAATGGTACAGGCGTGTTGCGCTCGAGATTTTCCATATTGCCGTTGAGGTCATCTAGATTCAATTCTTAGATGGGGCTCACACTTGTGACACTTGTGGGTCTTCTGTTGGGCGAAGTGTTGGCGCAGCCGCCCGGAGGCTTGCCAACTTGACAAATTGCAGCAGAAACATTAACTTTGTTTCAGCCCAAACTGTGGCAGGGAGCCGAGTGGCCAGTCAGCTTTATGCTTCCAGCGCCGGGAAGCCTGGCCGTGTCCGTTATGAACTTCAAGAAAGCTGCGCCAAAAGTAAGGCTGAGGGCAAAACAATTCTTCCAAGTCGGAGGGAAAACAATTCTTCCAAGTCGGAGCTGGAGCGCTCCAAGAAACCTGACAGTTTTTAACCACGCAATCCAGTACACAAGCACTGACAGTGATTGCCAGGCCTCCGCGGGCTCACTTGGCCAAGACTCCATGAGCGCCATGCTTTACATGATGCAAAAAGAGCGGTTCCTGTAGACTTTGCGATTAAGCTCTTGGCAGACATGCGCAGCGTCAAACCGACTTGAAGACTCTGGCATTAAAGAAAGCTGCAAGCCACGAAACACACGTGACAGTAAGCACACGGGAGACCAAATCCGCGGCTAGCCCGCAGGACCAACTAACTTTGGAGCAGCAAAGGTCTGCAGAGTCAGTCTAAACCATGACAGGCCACTCAGCAAGCACAGCTCACAAAACACACAGCAAGCACATCTCACAACACGCGCGGGCGACTAAATCCGCGGCTAGCCCGCAGGAGTCACAATGAAAGCCAAACACAATCCGCGGCTAGCCCGCAGGTAGAATGAAAGCCAAACACAAAACAGGAGATGAAGTTCTTTAGTCACAAAAAGCACAATCATGACTCGGCGAACACCCCAAAAACCAAGACATCCGGTTAGCTTTTGGAAGACATCTAGTTTCGGCCGTGCCGGCATAAATTCAATGGCATGCGCTCCCGGCGCTACGCCGAGGCTGCCTCTGTTCAAAATTTAGGCACTGCGTGGCAAGCTGAAGTGCTTCAACACACAGTGGACTTGGACATCGAGAACTGCTCGTTCACCTTGCTACTTCAGATGCTCGACAAGCTGAAGCCACAGGATCCTTCTTGGTCAGACGTCAGAGAGACTCTTCGGGAGTGCGTAGAATTCCGTACTTTCACCATTCAGAACAAATTGAAATTGAATGTGACTGCTGGCAAGCAACTTCTGCAGAAGGTATTCAATGGAAGTGCTCCGCCTGGTGATCTCACGAACAATGAGTTTATCATTCGATTACAACGAGCTTCGCTTTTTTGCCGATGGGTTGCTGCAAGCTGTTTGAAGGACATCGCCTGGGCCTCTATGCTTCAGTTCAAAGAAAAGCCGGATCTTTCCGTTCTAACGTATTTCTGGAACATTGCTGAAGACATGGTGCTGGAATCATGGCTCCGAAAAGCGAACCCGCTGCAGAGCAAACACACATCTTTGCACTTCGATGGAATCCGCCTGGATCGCGATGTTGTGCTGCCGGACACTCATGGCTTCTGCGACAGCTGCTCCGCATGGATTGAAAAAGACACTGGCTTCAAGGTAAAAATCCGTGCAAAGGAGCATCTCAATTTCCTGCAGCTCTTGCAGAAAGCCATTGCACCTCAAGAGGTTGCTTGTCCAGACAATCTTCAGAAAAATGGAAACTGCATTCTTGCGGCCTTGCATCATTTGGGCTATGGCGGGCAGGCTGCGACAATGGCGGCAGCTAGTGAAGGAACGGAACACGCTTTCTTCACAAGACGCCAACGTCGAACATATGAGCAGGTGAGCAAGTTTACACAACTTCCCATCTTTCCTCGCATGCCGTGCACAGAGTTTGTCGCGGGCCAAAAGTTCCTGCTGCACTTGGCTACGGCTGGCCAGCCACATTGTTTGGCCGCCCAGGCGCTGTCGTTGGAGCAAGTTCAGCTGACGAATGTGACTGCCACCTACAAGTTTTCAATGGCAGACTTTTCCAGAATGCTAACAGAGGCAACTGATCGCAAGTACATTCAGTTCTTCTACGTGGAACAAAAGCCAGACACTGTGGTATTGGACGCGAATGAAGCTGAGTACGAACTTCTCCTGGAGACCCAAGCAGGAGCCAACCACGAGGACGATGGCGAGGATAATTTCGCTGAAGATTTTGTTAGAGACGTGGAGACGCAGGAGGACGCAGAAGATGATGAACCGGAAGACGCTCTTCAGTGCGAAGATGAAAGCGTCACGCATGTCGGTGATGAGCTGCTGGTGCACCTGAAGCAGGAGGTGCAAGTCTTCTTGACAGGCGGTCGCAGACGAAAGGGCCGTAGTGCGGACACAGCTCGCTGTCCTTTCTGTCCTTTTCGCGCATGGCCGAAAATCAAACGAGGCCGTGTGCTCCACCATGTTCAAACTTATCATTGTCTGGCGAAACAATACGTGGCCAGTGGTACGAAGCAACTGAAGCTCATCATCGCCTTGCATGATTTCGACCAGATCGTGTCTGCTCCGAAAGGCAATTATCTGTATCGCAGCAGTCGTCTTCTGAGGCAAACTGTTTCTCCGGCTTTGTCTCGAAAGCAGGTTCTGATTGATCGATTCCTGCGATTAGTCTTTACCGAAGAAGGTCCTCAATTCTGGAGTGTGGATGCGGTCAGTAACAATTCCTTGCGAAGAGTACGAAACCTCTACTACACGCGGGAATTTGGACAGATTGTCTTTCAGGAAATGCTCTTGTGCAAGGCCAAGGTATCTTGCTGAATTCAGTATATCTTCTAGGGTCTTTTGCGTAAACACATTTTCATGTGCTACTGAGCATTATTGTTTCCGGTCTTGCTTGTTTCAAGCAGGTATATGCTTTCCACGCTCGCATGATGACACTTTTTCCGGGCGATGTATGCAGCCTCCTGCCAAGACATTCAAGACACTGGTGGCCTATCGTGGAAGACATATTTCTTTCGCCGCGCGTTCAGGAACTTCGGTCACAGTTATTCCAGCAAATGCTTCAGCACGAAGAATTCGAAGCAATCAGCATGGACACAACTTTACGCTGCTGTTTGCCCATCTTGGGACAGGCGCATCCTCGCGCAAGTGCTGAAGCGAAGCAATCAGCCGTTTTTCGCGGAGAGGAAGCCATGACTCGCGCCACTTGATATTTGAATTGATCATTGTAACGTCGATTGTTTTGGTTAAGATATCAAACAACCTATGCAAAAGCGTTCCGCAAAGAATGCGATCTTTATTTGATGCGTCTTATACGCTTGATCAGGTTCTCACTTGTCGTGGACGCACAAATGCAGTGGTGCTGCTACAACCTGGCTCGTCAGACGACACCGAGGTTTTAGTGAGGATGCTGGCAGATTCTCTTCCGGCTCAAGGACTTTGCCAGATCAAGTACCTTTCCGTGGACAACCCGTCGGCAAAGCTGTATAAGGAGGCAAAGCATGTGTGTCCGAACTTGCAGGTGGTGGCGTTGGACCCAACACACCTGGCAATGACCTGTGAGTATGCCTCAAGCAGGAAACGTACTGCTGCGACACGTTATTTGCGCATCATTCTGCGCAAACTTACAGCGCGCAGTGAGTTATCGGCTGGTACTTGGGGACCCATTTTTTGCGGAGAGAACGCAACTCCCTTTACACGAGAAGAACAAAGGGTCCGTGCTCAGTTGGCGGATCGGAGCATGCGCAAGGCTGAGGCTGAACGAATTCTCGCGAATCTGGATGCAACGAAGCCTTTTCTTCTTCGCTTGGAATGGATTCAAGCACTTGCGGCCTTGACTTCTATTTATCGCAGCGAGGTCGAACGACTCGCTCCGGGCCCCAATCGCAAGATATATCAGCTTCTTCACACTGCCACGGCTGCCAACAGAACGGAATGGTTTTTTAATAACCTACGTCTGCGCCACATGATTTCGTCCGAGAGGTTGTCCCTCTTGCCTATCGGCACGGCCAGTAATGAGGCCTTGCACCATGAGGTGAACAACTGGTTCCGCGAAACTCAGAAGTTGCATAAAGCAACGTTGTCTCTGAAGCTCAGCATTATGCAGCTTGGCAAGCTCCTGACTCACAACAATGCGCTCTACAAGCCTACAACACGGCAAATGCCGGAAGCCGAATTGCTGGCCCGACTAACGTCCAAAGATTTGTTTCGTGCCACTGAGTGGGAGGAGTGGTGTTCGGAACTCGTAGATGGAAGCATCAAAGGCAAAGCAGAACTGCAATTGCACCATGAGCGCGAGATCGAGCGGAAGAAGGTCAACCCAAGATCATTCAAAAGGCCGGCTGCTGCTGAGGACTCCTCACTCTTGAGACGGAGAACACCAAACACTCTACTGCGGCAAGATAGCCTGCGCAGAGCTGGCGTCAGGCCACGAAAACTCTAAGTGTGTTGTTCCGGCAAGGACAGTCATTTGTACAGGCCATTGCTCTTTCATGTTTCTTTCGCCGAAAGCTGATCCTACTAAGGCATTATTGCCTTGATTAAAATCGTTCGGCTTTCGCTAAGAATCAGCAAGAGACTGTGCAAATCATCTCATTGTCTTTTTCTACTGAAGATCAACAGCATACTCAGTGTTTGTTGTCTAACTTCACCTGCAGAACGCCGATCCTATTTAGGCTTTATTGCTTCAGTGAGAGCGCTAAGCCGCTTGGCGTCCTCGCGACAAAAGAAACAGAGCGATGAAAGTGATGATTAAGTGGCACGTTCATGGTGTGCTTCATGCTGGCCGTGTACAACAGCTTTTCAATTTCAGACAGCCCAACACACCTACAATGTTTTTATTCATATGGAAAAATTAAAAGAATGCTCCAGGAAAAAGAACAATCAGATCAACAACGAATAAAAAATCAATCAAAAGGTTGCCAAGAAGCATCGCTCAGTGCTTTTTTAGTGTTGTTGACGAGCGTTGGCTAAAGTTTGTTTTTTTCATGATTTGTTTCTGATTATCTAGGATTCCGTAAAATCCGAGTTGCTGTTTCTTATTTCCAGTTATTTTCTTGCGTTATTCTTCAAATGTTCAAGAAAACCACTTAGCGAGTATATTTCTGGCCGGAAAACAAACATGTTGTTAGTAGGGACGGTCAGGATAGCTTATTTTCTTACACTGTGCTTCTACGACAACGTTTTTCTACGTGGCTGTGAACCGCGTAATTGTATCCCCGATCGCATAATTTTACTCGACCACACATGCGAAGCACAATTACTGCTCATTTGTCGCAGCGCCTCAATTTTACCCGACAGTTTTTCTGGAAATCATTTTTGCAGCGACAAAGTCTTACCCGACACTGTGTGAGAATGCTTGGTTTTACCGGACGCACCGCTCGAAAAATATAGCAAGTAAATCAACCCCAAAAAAGCGTGAGCAAAATCGAGCATGCGTGAGTAAGAGTTGGTCCTGGCAGTCAGGAAGAGGTGAGTTCAACTTGAGCCACGCAGATTTGCCCGTGAGAAAACCGTGAGAATTCGTGAGTTGATGCTGTGGGGGAGTCTAGAACACCATAATACGGACCATGCCGAATTCAAGTGATTCGGGCTCTGGTCCTGACACCGGTGTAGGGTGTCATTATGGGTTGTTCAGGCCGATTCGGTTTGAAACATGATGGACCCCGTTCTAGTTCTTCTTCGGAATCAATTGTCGCACCACATGAATAAAGCAGGTCTTTATGGAAGCGCTATCCTTTATTTTCAGTGGTTGGAAGCGTAAGGACATGATATACATTTCTGAATAAGACAGTAGACCTCCAATGTCGAATACAAATGGCCGACAAATTCGCCAAAGAATCGCAGCGTTTTGGGTGTTTCTTAGCGATTTTATTTCCGATATAGTTCGATGTTATGTTCTTGCGCTGTTCCATTGGCATCTGATTGCGTTCATTTTTTTAAGAGATTTTTTCTGGATTCTTTAGCGACAAAAATCGCTGAGAGTCGGTCCGCGTGTTGGCAGCTGTTTCCGATGCTTTTCTATGTTTTAGTTTGGATTCGTGTTGCGATTTTGTTTCCGGTTTTTAATTTATCATATTTTCTACACATTTGGGTTAAAACGTGTCAGGCAGATAGAGCAGAGCTTTTAGGAACTTCCCAAGAATCTGTGAAACCCTTTGGTTTTGTTTAGAAAGCTAGTCGTTTCTGCGTTTCTTTTTGAGATCCTTCTTGACGGTGTCGTGAAGTTAGGGATCCCCTTTAGAAGGGTTTGGGTTAGAGAGTTCCCCCTTAGTATAGTAAGACCACGGAACCCTTCTACAGAAAGCCTAGGGCAGCTTGACACCCTGCCGATTGGATTATAGGCTCAGGGTGTACTGTAGGGCGCGTGCCTCGCGGCTGACATGTCGCGTCCTGCCGGGCGCCCATCCGATCGTATGAAGGGCATGAATTTGACGATTCGCGAATGTTCGCGGTATCCGGACCTGAGGTTCTTCCCTCGCCCGCCTTGCGTGGCTCGTCGCACGTGCCTGCAGCTTTCAGAGCAAGGGACTGAGACAAACATCGTATCATTGCAATCAGGGTTTAGGGTATAGGGTTTAGGGTTGAAAAGAACACACAGGCGCGGCCTGCGCCTGGCTCCAAACTTGCCGGGGAGCCGAGAGACCAACCCTAAACCCTAAACCCTAAACGGCCTGCGCCTGGCTCCGAACTTGCCGGGGAGCCGAGAGACCAACCCTAAACCCTAAACCCTAAACCCTAAACCCTAAACCCTGAACCCTGAACCCTGAACCCTGAACCCTGAACACAACCCTGAACCTTGAACCCTGAATTCTGAACCCTAAGATTGGGTCTCGTCAAGGAATCTCAAGAGTTCCAACCCCCCCCCCCCCCAAGTTCCAAGCTTGAAAACCCTGCGAAAGGCCCCAGCCCTGGCGCCCTCAAGTCCCACTTCTGAGGGTTGAGGGTTTAGGGTTTAGGGTATAGGGTTTAGGGTTTAGGGTTTAGGGTTTAGGGCTAGGGTTTCGGATTTAGGGTTTCGGCGTTTAGAGTTTAGGGTCGGGGGCTGAGAGCCGAAATCAGAAGCCAGAAACTTGGAGACCAAGTGGTTCCCTGATGCCCTAAACCCTAACCCTAAACCCTAAAACAGGACAGAGAGAAGCAGATCGCCTTGAACATGGAGATCGCTGAAAGATGGGCAAAGAAGCTTCCAGAGGCCTGGGACTTGCTACAGAGCGCTAGTCAAGATGTGGCAAAACCTTGGGTGTATTTCTCTCCCCCTCCCACCCAAAAAAAAGCAAGACAGCAACCCTGAGCAGGTGGAGTATCCAACACTGCAGGCCGGATGGCGTCCGCCTGTGTCTTTGAGCTTCTAAGTTAGGAGGGTCAGTGGGAGAGGCTCGGCGTGTTATTTTCAGCGTTTCTTTCTTTCTTGACGTTTGTCGTCAGTGTGTTGTTTAAGTGCCCTTTGTCGGTGGTCATGCGCATGGGCTTGGGGTTTGTGAACTTCCGAGACACCGCTCCAAACGCCCGAAAAACCTCAAGCCACCATGTGAATAGGGGCCGGCGGCCCTCTTGAAGGAGGCCTTAAAGATAGCACCCAGTATTGGGTCAGGTAGGGGGTGGCAGGTTTAGGGGTTAGGGTCTAGGGTGTAGGGTTTGGGGAGCAGGGTTCAGAGTGCATAAACCCTAACCCCTAAGCCCTAAACCACGCCCCTTTGGCTTCGGAGGCCACTTTGAAAAAGCTGGCCGCAGGCAACGTTTCGCAAGGACCGCGCTTCTTGCGCGAGGGTGTTTTCAGGTTTTGGAGCGCTTAGCTTATGGTTTATAGGGTTTAGGGCTTAGGGTTTAGGGTTTAGTGTTTAGGGCTTAGGGTTTAAGGTTTAAGGTTTAGGGTTTAGGATTAGAGTTTAGGGTTCAGGTTTCAGGATCCTCGGGGGGCTACTGCGTCCTGGGACTTCAGTTCAATCTGCTCCTTGGGGCCGAACCCATGTTACAGAGAGAGTGTAACCCCTTCCAGGAGGCTCAGTGTGGACCCCCAAAAGCCCTTAATGCTTTCATTATACAAGGCATAAGCTCTAAACCCTAAATCCCAAACCCATAAGGCCCTAAATTAAAAGGTTAGAATCGTGAGCCCTTTAAAACGGTCCCTCACCTTTGTCTTAAAGGATTTAAAGACTTCGGACGGGCCCCTTTGTATTTATAAGGGTTTTATGACACAGGACCCAAAGTAAGGGCTCCGGAGTATGCCCCTAGAAATCCACCCTAAGCCCTAAGCTACTCCCAGCCCGGACCTGAACTCTGCGAGCTCACCCAAAATGCCGTCCCTCAACCCTAAACCCGTAAAGCCTAAACCCTAAGCCTCTAATAAACACCAAACGGGCACTTTTCTCCCATAAAATTTGGCGCGCGAGGAAGCAAGACAGCACCAGCTAAGGCAGTGCTCCGGTGTGGTGTATGTAGGGTTTCGGACAGGGTGTACGGCTCAGGTTTAGGGTTTAAGGTTTAGGGCTTAGGGCTTGAGGCTTAGTCAGGACTCTTTGGGTTCGGGATTAGGTGTGGCTTTGGGGCGTAAGCTTTCAGGCGCCCTCTGGGGAGCTTTGGGTCTTCGGCTTTGTCCACTAGTTAAGTCTGATTTCCGCCTATTTTGATTCAAACATCCTCGATCATAGTCAGGAGCTATGCTGCCTGACATGACATAGCCCCATGTGTAGGGATTGGATATTTGGGTTTAGGGTTTAAGGCTGAGGGTAGCGGATTAGCTTGAAGCCCCAGACCTTAAACTAAGGCCTTGGAAATCCTTTCTCCGGTCAAGTGTTTTGCTCTCCTTATAGCTAGCAAGCAGGGGTTGGAGGGGTTGACTTTAGGGCCATTTATGCGCAGGGTTGTTTAGGGCATACGCTTTCACCCTTAAAACCCTCAACCGCCCACCCTAAACCTCTAAACCCGACTCTTGCACCCTAAATCCCCAAGACTCTAAACCCTAAACCCCCCCAACATCCACAGCTTGAGGGCCCGTTCAGAAAGAAGTCGGTGTACAGGCGCTTTCAAGGTTTTCGTGTAGAGATGAGAGGCTCTGTTTGTTTAATATTGGGTATTGGGGGTTGGGGCATTCAGGCTTCACCACCTTTAAAGCACTTCTGCCCTCAGCATTCACCCTACATCGACTAAACCCTAAACCTTAAAACCCTAAACCCTAAGCCCTAAGTTCTAAGCCTTAAGTCTAAGCCCTAAACCCTAAACCCTGAACCCTAAACCTTGAAGAGAGGGATCTGTGCCCTGCGGGGCGGCTAACCGTTGAAGATGCTTCTGGCTTGTGTCGAGGGTCCTTGGCAGCGCCAATCTCGAGGGAACAATTTTGTGAAGTCCGAAATGGTTTTGAAAACGTAGCACTTGAACACCGCTGTGCCCTCGTCATTGGGCAAACCCCCAAAAGCCTGTTGTCGAAGTTCCACGTATGCGTTT